AGAATTCACAAGGATATCCGTGACTTGCTGTATGACATTCTTCCCCAGCTTGGCAATAAGCAAATGGGATTTAGCAGCAACCGAGAGCTTCCGGTTGTATAGTACGGATTCGGCCTGAATGAACCAGGTGCGCAGCTGATCCTCCCGTAACTGTTATTTGAGACCCCCATCATGATATTGATCACACCATCGCCAGCAGGATACAATTCGGTGACAATGCCTAGAGGCCACTGAAGCGGTGTAGTATTATCCATGTCTATTGGAACTGCTGTTCCTACAGAAATGGCAGTAGTATATTTATTCCACTTCTCTCTAGTCTGTAAAGTAAGTAAGTATTCAAGCCTGAAGCGTTTTCAAAATAAGTGATCGGAAATGCGTGATAAAAGATTTTTTTATAGGATAGGGTGACAAATTAGCACACAGTCCACCTGATGGTAGGTGGTTGCTGCGGCCCATAGACATCTTCGTCTATCCTCGATTACAAATCAAAATGCAGATGCGTTGTCACCCGTGAGGACTAAGATGGAATGCCTCGTTTCCAGTAAAAAGGGTCTCTGGTTCTCTACGCTCACCATACGAAACACAGCAGCACTAAGCTTCTATTTTACGCTGGTATTCTGTGAGAGCATGGTCCTTCCCAGTCAAGCCGACCCATTCGTGCTGCAACTATACTACTAATATAACTGCAGCATGGCTCTACCACGTTAGTACGTTCTTTAGTTAAATTAGTCAGTAAATCAGTCAGACTGGTAAGCATTTAAGTGGTTTTAATGTGAGTACTGTAAGTTCAGAAAAATCTCCACTTAATACACAAAGCGGGTGAAAATTTAAGATACACTAGATCTTACCGAGTTTAGTAAACATTTTTTCATATGTGAAGATTTGCTTACCTATTACGCGAAACAAATGCTTTTTTTATAAAATTTATATTAGACTCCTATAAACCACCGAAATATGGAGCGCTTGGATGGCTAAGTGTCTAAACATTGAGGTTATCAGTAAGCACTTGGTTGAATGCTTCATAATATTCTTCTGATTCTAAAAAGGCTATTTAAGCGAGGCAATGAAATTGGTACCGTTATAACTGTTTATAAATGTATATATATACATGTAACCAAAAGTCACAATTTAAAATTTGCGAGGGTAACGGTCCACGCAAAATATGATCTGCAGGTTTTTCGACCCTGAAATATGATAAACATTATCCGGTAATAGGACTGCATCTCCGAAATACGGTTAGCAACAAAGGTGCTGAACTTTTGCGGTGAAGATCACGCCTGACAGTGTGTGACTTCTGAATCTGAAAACGCATAAATATTATTAATTGTTGTTCGGTAATTAAAGCGTCAATTTAGATAATTCAATCCTCAGTTTTTATTATTACGACTCCCAAGCTCGTAACAATTGGTGTCAAAAGTGTGGTCAAATCATGCCGACTTTACTTAAACGCCATACATAATACGATTAAATTTAGCCTCAGTGATTGTACGTCACACGGCTTAGACAAATAGGCACACTAGCCATAAAAATCCCTCGGTGAGCGCCACCACCTGTCAGACCGCCATTTCTGCAGACGTGATGTAACTGTATGGCATCACCAACGATTGCATGATCCGCACGGCTACTAGCTGCAGATCTCACGTTATGTTGCTTTCGGCCGCAGCCTTGAGAGTCTCTTCAGATCCTCCCTCCAGATCTCACCCGCGTGAGGTCGACACATATGCTCTACCAACCAATACAATGCAGATGTAGCCAAAAGGCAGTAATAAGATAATAGTAATAATTTTCTAACCAAGATTAAAGATGGGAAAGTGACAGAGATATATTACTATGCTGTAATATAATACATCATGGAGGTCAGACAGTCTACAGCCCTGTAATGAAGGGACCCGACTCGGCCAAAGCTACTTAGGTGTGAGTCAAACTAAGATCCAGAGAGTGCCATTGAGAATAGCGACCCACTAAACAAGAGACGCAATGCTGCAGAACGCAACAGGAATCCATACGACTATTGTCGGACTTACACGATCCAAAGGTCTCCCATGCAATCCCAGCAGACATCACCACCCGTATACCTCCATCGACCAGAACTACAAAAATGTGTCGAATCAGGCGCAGCACACCCGTAGATCAATCACAAGATGCAATACCGCAAGTAGCAGAAAGCATCAATGGAACTATTATTGGGTCTTTACATATAAAATTAGCGTTTTGTAGTACTGACCACTTTGAGCTGAAATATCTTTTTTTGGTTAAGAATTCCAAATTAAAATTTATAAATTCATTTAGCTGGTACATTTGAGTTCTGAAAACAGTCATTCATTTGTTTTATCCTCATTATTTTTTTTCTTTGGCGTCACTTATTACCGCATAATGGAAAACATGAAATATCGGTATATTTACGAGTACAAGTTCTACCATGGCATCAGTGCTGCAGAAACCGCTCGAAGGATTAATGATGTGTACAGCGCTGGTGTCGCAAAAGAAAGTACGGTACTTTTTTGGTTTCAACGTTTTCGTTCTGGAAATTTCGACCTTCAGAACCAACCCCGGGGACTGCTAGAGACCAAAGTGGAAAATGAACAATTAAGGGTACTGTGTATCCGTCACAAAGCACTTCAGAGATAGCTGCAGGCTTGAGGCTAAGTGATAAAACTGTATTAATCCACCTAAATTGCGAACACAACTCTCGTAAGGTATGACGGTGTCAAAGATCTTAACAAGAGACTTCCGTTCATTAATCGTTTTTACCTGGTGCTTTGTTCCAAGGGTAATGGTGACACTCTTTAAGGGATTAAGTACCAGGTCATGTTTCAAAGACCACTCCGCAATAGAATCAAGATCTTTGTTTGACTTGGAAATAGCAACAGCAACCTCCTCATCAATTGGCGTTGTGTGAACGTATACTTGGCTGTCATCTGCATATAAGTGAATTTTCGAGTGCATTATAGCTTTAGTAACGTTGGCCGTGTAAATTGCAAATAATGTGGGACCAAGTATTGAACCCTGGATAACACCTTTATTAAGGGGGGAGCGTGTTGGAGATATTTAGTGCTCCTTGGCTATTCAAACATTGCACTTTTTGGCAGCGATTATGGAAATAAGATTGAAACCAGGTGCAGGCCGATTCTGTGAAACCATAGTATTTTAATTTTGCCAATAGAATAGATATATCAACACAATCGAAAGTGCGGCTGAAGTTTAGCAAAACCATAATTGTTCCCTTACCCTCATTGGACGCAGCAAGAATATCATCAGTAATATTTAAAAGAGCTGATACTGAACTGTGATTCTTTCTAAAACCAGATTGAATCACAGGTAGTACTTGATTACGTTCTAGATATGGTGAAATATGATAAAGAACGCATCTTTCAACTATTTTAGATAGTGCAGGAAGAACGCTTATTGGTCTTATACCAGAAAGATTATCCACCATTGATTTTTTAGGAATGGGAGTGACGATGGCACATTTCAAGATTCTGGAAATACTCCTTCCAATATACATTTATTGACTATTGCCACTATCGTTGATAAAGAATATGGAAGCGTTAGTTTTAACATCAACATGGAGATGCCATCAGTTCCTGTCACATTAGTAGCTGTAGAAGCAATTATACTTTTCACTAACGTTTCATTTACAGCTACAAATTGAAATTCGATTTCAGAGTGTTTAAGTGATTCGATTTCTTGAATAACACTTTTGTCGGGAGGTGCACATGATATGGTGTTTGTAAAGTGATTATTAAGTAAATCAGGGTCAAGAAGATATTCCGGTATGGAACGATTTTTTACGGCAAGTGAAATTATTCGTTTTATGTGACGCCACATCTGAGAAGGATTTGACCTATTATTATTGACAAACCTAGTAAAATATGCCTGCTTTTCTAGAGTAACTGCTCGGTTATAATAGTTGCGCAGATCGCGGTAAAATTGCATACTACTTTCCGATTTTATAGTTTTGGCCCGGTGGCAAGCCTTGTCACGAATTGACTTCATTTTTCTAAGAGTATCAGTCATCCATGGGGCAGGGGGTAGTTTAAAAGTGCTTTTATGAACAGGGGCGAATGAGTCCATCAAGTCAATGACGAGATTGTTAAAGGTATTACCATATTATCGATACCATCTTGTACTAGTACCAGCTCCCATGGCGTGTATTTAGCAGCATTGTTTATAGCAATTGTGTTCTCAGCTATAGGTCTGTTTGAAATTATACGACATTTAGATTTTTGAATCGCGAGCGGAAATTTCGCTGAAATCAGTCCATGATCGCTAAGATCATCATCATGTGTCACTTCCACAGAAATGGGTTTAAGATGTGTCCTAGTAAAGATAACATCAATCAAGGTACTCGTAGTAGAAGTGACCCTTGTAGGCTGGTTTACGATTTGATGGAGGTTAAATGTATCAGTAAGGGTCTTGAGACAAATAGGCGTAAATGGAAGGCCGTCGTTGTTTAGACAATCAATGTTCAGTTCACCAACAAGAAATAATTGATCATATTGCGCTATAAAAAACGAGAGAGACTCGTGCAAACAGTCTATGGCTGAACCAACACTCACTGATTCAGGACGATACGCCGAACCAAATACAGCAGTCTCACTACCTATTTTAACATTAAACCATATCTGTTCAAGTTCCCCAGGGGGATGATCTAAACGCTTTGCACGTAAGTTAGATTTTATATAAGCACCAACACTAACACCACGACCAATACGAGGGTTGTGCAGCAGTCTGTGGCCGGAAATTGAATACAAGTCAATATTGGAACTACGAGTATAATGAAGATAAGTCTCGCTAAGACATAGTATATCAAGATCCTTAATTTGGATACTTTGATTAAGTTCCTCAAAACCGGTATTTAGCGAACGTACATTCAAAATACCTAATTTAAAATAGTTTCTTTGTTTTCCTTTACCCATAAAATAATATAAGCTTTTATCAAAGTAAACTTAAACCAAGTGAACACAAAAATAAAATAAACAAATAAATGGAAGATATGACTAAACTAGGTTAACTAAGCAATCAATGTTTTTGATGAGCATGGGAGTAGCACCTTCAACTTTGCGAGCGTACACATTTCCTCTTTTGACCCAAATAAACTTAAAATTTTTCTCCTTGCCTACTCTTCTAGCCTCTCTGAATAATGCTTTACAATCAGGTGAAATATATTCAGAGACATATATTTTATTAGTAGCACCATCAATATTTAGGTGTTTCGAGTTTAGTTTGCCACTTTGAGTTTTATTAAAGTTATTAACGGCTTCAAGGATACGATCACGAATACGCGGCGATGTCAGTGTCACTAATACGGAACGGGGCCTGCTCGAAGATTGATCCATCTTAGCCACACGGTGACAGGCACGAATGTCGCTGTCCGCAATTGGCGAGTTAATTGTGTTGCAAAGGTTGTGAAATAATCCAAACAGATCCTCGCTGGCCTTTTCCTGTATGCCGTTAATTTCCAAGTTATTGTCTCTAGAGATTTTTTCAATGGTGGACAGTCGACCATGGAGGTTATAAACTTCTTTTTTAAGTTTTAAAGTCTGAGTCTGTAAATCTTTAATTTCTTTGTCTTTTTGTTCAACCTTTACTTTCAAATCCGCCTGTTCAGCAGCTAAAAAGTCAGTAGCTTGCGTCAGCTCGTTTTTGAACTCATTGAGGGCTAAATTAATCTCCTGAGATATTATTGTTTTGATATCCTCCAGAATAGTCGATCGTAATTTGCAAAAAATTGGTGATGTGTCCGATAATTTATTATCAAGCAAGTCGCCGATTTCCTCTATAGTTGCTGGTAGAAGGCTGACCTCCCGCCTGTTATACTTGGCGCGCACTTTAACATTTAAATTACTTGCCAATTCTTCTCTCTCCTTCTCCATACAGCCTTCTGAGTACATTGCGTTGCCGTGAATGAGAGTGTTCTGGTTATCACTCTTAGGTTGACGATTTTTACATTCATGACATATCCACACAGCTTTACGTTCTTTGTCCAACGAAATGAAAGTTTTTTTACTAATCGTAGCACAGTCCAAATCATATTTTAGTTTACATGAACAACAACACATAAACCGCCGATTAGTTATTTTATTCTGACAACCAGCACATTTCCCAGTAGAAGACACCTCGGTTCGTTTAAAATAATTAAAAATAAATCCTAAACCGTTCAGTAAGCTCAAGCGATAAAAGCGCTTATTGGGAAGCGAACGACCACTGCACTGTTGTCGACGTAGAAGCATGCAATAATTAAGTAAAAAAGTATATGCTTACTTTTTACGAATCACAAATTAATTCACTATCACTAATAGACTATTTTAATGTAATTTTTTCTCTGCTTTTAAATGATATAAATTAAAACATTAGATATTAGATATTTATATCGAAAATATTAAATGATGACGGAGCAAAGTAATATACGTGTGTTTCACAAAATACCCGCGAATACTGAAAATACTTCAAGCAAATCGGGAAAGAAAAAAAAACTTGAACGATGGTGTCGATAGGTACCGTACCTTATGAATTGAGTGAATCGAACTTGCAAACACGCGTTGACTGCTGTGTTATTTTACTCAACCGACATAAAAATGAAGGGATTTTAAATCGGATCATTACTTGAGATGAAAAGTGGATACTGTACGATAATCGGAAGTGCTCGTCGCAATGGCTGAATCCTGGAGACCCAATCCCAATCCTGCCTTAAACGAAAATTGACTCAGAAAAGTTACTTTTGAGTGTTTGATGGACTAGCGCCGGTGTCGTTCACTACAGCTTTCTAAAATCTGGCCAAACGATTACGGCAGATATCTATTGTTAGCAACTGCAAACAATGAAGGAAGAACTAGCTGCTAAACAACCGAAATTGATCAATTGCCTTAGGCCACTATTGCTTCAAGACAACACAAGGCCACACACTGCACAACAAGCAATCAATAAGTTAGATGAGCTACAACTGGAATGTCTGTGACATCCACCGTACTTCTCGGACCTTGTTCCAACATATTACTATGGCGGCCAATCTCAACGGAGACTAGTGATCGGCGCAGGACAGGATTATAGTGCCCAAGTGTATGCGCAATCACAGGTGCACTCTCTATTCCCTCACCCTCATAATCCGATGGGACGGTAAACTGACACGACCGGAGAGAGATCGGGCGCAGAACCAACGACTTTTCGTGAATTCAGGAACGGGGTTGGTTGTATTGCCGATGCTCGAGCGGAGGAACAAAGTAACGCTTTATAATGTAACTCCCGAGAAGTTCATTACAACCTATGTTCATTAATAAAGTGCGGAAGTAGAAAATATACAATACCCTACGGCAATTACTTTAAGACTAAGTTGAAATAATACTAGTTTTTACGGATTTTATCGCGTATAAATTTTGTCTTCCCGACTTTGCCGTCCCGACGTTTGTCTGCAGTCTGTGAACACGTACACGATCGCCCCCGTCATTACATCAGAGTTGATAGACCACAACTCATCGCTAAAGAACACCGATTCCTTCCAAGGATGATTCGCGAGGCTATTGAAATCAAAAAACATCCTAATTTCAATAGAGAAGATGGCTGGGTGCTACCATCTGTCATTCTATAATAAATAAAATTAAATCCCAACCCAAGCATACAACTGCAAGACTTCAAGATACCATAAGTTCATTCGGTGTAGACCGAAACAAAAGTTACATTTCAATCTATGGTAACCGCTGTTAACTATGACATCTGGACGTTGAACATCTCAGTCCCTCCTGTGACCATGGGTGCTGTAAAGCGCTCGAAACGTCAGGTATTTATTGTTAAATATACGCGATAAAATCCGTAAAACCTAGTATTATTTCAATGTAAGAAATCATTATTAAGACTAAGTTTGCATCAAGACAGTATACTAGACGTTCAGTTTACTTATATAATAAAATATTTACTCTATGAATTAACATGACTGTAAAAAACCGTAACAGACTGGTAAAGAAAACTTTCCTATGAAGAAATCGAATCCCTTCTCGAAAACACTGCCTTATGAATTTTCACTCTCATACAGACTTCCCACGCTCATCTATACACACACACACACACACATACACACACACACACACACACACACACACACACACACACACACACACACATTTTTGCATACACACACATTTTGCACACTATCACGCAAATAACGCTAATTATACCTTACTTGCAGTTTAAATTCTTTAGCTTTTGATTTTTTTTTGTTATTTTATTATTTTGTGTTATATACTTAATTCTAATTTAAAGTAGTAATATAATTGTAATAAGGAAGAGTGGGGCCCTCTACTACAGTAAGATGGTACCCAAAAATATTGTAACAACTTACTATTTGTTTTAAAGTAATTATCATTATCCTTAAAATATCATAAAGTGACCCGTATAAAAAAATTGTCATTAATCACTCATTTGGGATTATGTACCGAAATAAACTGTAACAGCAACTGACTGATCGCAATGGGGACTAGCTATCTGCGTAGGAAGGGATATAGCGGACGATTTTGTGCACAAGCACAAACTCTCTCTATTCGCTATAGTCCGGTAGCATGGTAATAAGACACAATCGGAGTGAGATCAGGTGCCAGATTTACAGTTTTTCGTGCTTGCAGAGGCAAGGGATGAGTAACCGCCGCTTCCTTACTCCGGGCTGCTAGAATCTTTTGATAGAAAAATACAATAAGTGATTTTGGCCCAACCTGAGATTCAAATCTGAGACCACATATTTACAGTTCATCTTTTCATAGCTATACCAACGAGGCAATCAAAATTCAGAAGATCATTAATAATTTACCTGAGCATGCAAACAGTATTGCGTTAAAATTAACATTAACGATAATATTTCTCTAACGAACGCCATTTGCATTTCAGATGATTCAGACAGAATGTGATTTCGCAATCCAACAACAAATCAAGCCACATCAGTAGTTTGATTTCCACAGCATAACTCAACTTAAAATTGCAATTAACTGTTTCATTGATGAAACAGTTAAATGCAATTTTAAGTGCTGAGTTATCGCGTGCTCGGCGGTGAAGGTAAACACCGTGAGGAAAGCTGCATGTCTGAGACATAAGAAAAAAATATAACGAAAATATATGAAGTTCACCAACATCCATTTAGGCAGGGTGGCGGATATTTACTTACTCAAAACCCTCTCAGAAACGATATCTGGCCTGTGCCAGGCAGTGGAACGTATAAAGGCTGTAAGTAATTTAAAAATATAACACAATACTTATTATGAATAATAAATCAAAATAATCAGATTAAAGAAGTTGATTGAATAAAAACTGATTCTAAAATCGAAAAACGCAGGGAAGTGAAACAGAAGACGAGCAACAGCATCTTTCTCATAGCACCTAAAATAATAAAAACGCGGTTGTAGCTCTGCCTACCAAGCGTGGCAAATATGGTGAACATATCTTCTTATGATACAATCTGTAGGGAAGTTCTATATTTAGTATTTTACATATATAAACAATTGTTTTATTCCTATTCAGCTGATATAGGGAAATGTCTCATTATTCTTTGGTATGGAATAACACACCTTGCGCCTAATAGCGTCTCTTTTTCTCCTGAAGATTACAATAGTCATTTTTTATCTGCTCAAACTATTTCTAATAGTTCTATCTTCCATGCAGTGAATTTTTTTTTTTACAGAATAGGGTTGACAAACGGAACGGACGAAACACAGCAGCATTAGATTGTGACTTTAAATAAATTAAATTATTACAAACGGTGTTACCTATAATTGGCCAAATGTTTTATCCGTATAATATCACCTTTAATTACTTTTGTTTTCGAATCGGTTTCACACATATGCATGTACTTATCGATTTACCGAATATATTATCAGCGGATAGTAAACCGAATGAAACGAGCAAGAAATGATGCGATTTTTAACAGTTTTTTTTTTCTATTTACCTGCAAAACCTTACCAAACTAACAAATTGAAATCCTCAATAGAAATCGATTAAATGATATTCGCGCCTTTTAATTTGTCATGAAATTTGAAGGCCATCATTTGCCTTAAAAATTCATTGCATGCGAGCAAAATTTACACGATCCCCGCCTCCTTTTATGGTGATTACTGAAATAATAAATGTGAAGTTACGTGCTGTTTCATTGATTTTTCGACGATGAAGGAAATCGTCGTGAAATTATGACATTCGCATGTATGAGAAATTAAAAAGGAAATATTAGGAGAAAAAATTAAATGTAGTTTGGTAAGGTATCGCAATAGATTGTTCCTTTCCCGAGTACCCTCTCAAGAGTAATAATAGGAGACCTTTGTTTAAAAGTACTTTAATATAACGAGAGTAACGATAGTGTGCAAAAATGTGTGTGTGTGTGTGTGTGTGTGTGTGTGTGTGTGTGTGTGTGCGTGTGCGCGCGCGTGTATATTGTGTGTGTGTTTGTGTGTGTGTGTGTGTGTGTGTGTGTGTGTGTGTGTGTGTGTATGGATGAGCGTGGGAAGTCTGTATGAGAGTGAAAATTCATAAGTGCATTCATAAGCAGTGTTTTCGAGAAGGGATTTGATTTCTTCATAGGAAAGTTTTCTTTACCAGTCTGTTACGGTTTTTTTACAGTCATGTTACAATCATAGAGTAAATATTGATTTTTTTTGGTTTATTTTATTATATAAGTAAACTGAACGTCTAGTATACTGTCTTGATGCAAACTTAGTCTTAATAATGACTTCTTATATTTACGCGAAAATGTGTAGTACATTGAAATAATACTAGGTTTTACGGATTTTATCGCGTATATTTAACAATACATACCCGACGTTTCGAGCGCTTTACAGCACCCATGGTCACGGGAGGGACTGAGATGTTCTACGTCCAGATGTCATAGTTAACAGCGGTTACCATAGATTAAAATGTAACTTTTGTT